GTGGTGACTAAAGTGCAATTAGAACAGGGGGAGGCAGAAGGCCACGCAGCACAGTGAATAAGGCCATGTAAATTGCCCTCCCCACTGTAGCATGCACGGCATATGCCCACCCCGAGATCATACATGTGTGCATAGCATGTTGTTGAATGAGGGGGGAGAGGAGCTGGGATTCATAAGACCAGGGGGCAGATTACTCACTCCCTGGCAAAAGAGAGCCAGCTACACAGCTGGCTCAGTAGGCAGCCCAGCCCCCCACCGCCATGAGGGAAGGAGTGCATCTGGGGCCCCTGTCAACAACACCCTGGAGCACCGCCAGTGGCAAAAATTATACTATACTGGTATACTGAGTAATACATAAATTATTTATGTATTACTCAGTATAAGACAATAAGGATTATGTGCGGCTTATTTTCTTCTATATCTAATTCACTTGTATCACCTAAAATGCACAATATGGGTGAGGTTGGGATATGACAATTAAACCATATTGATAGATCTTCACATATCCTCTGCCAGAACTTCTGCACCGGTGTGCAGGACCATATGGCATGTGTGTAGTTCTCCACAAACTTACCTGAGCAATGGGTGCATAGGTTTGATTGTATAAGGCCCATTTGGAACATCCTTTGTCCTGTGTAGTGTATTCTATGGAGAGTTTTGTATTGTATAAGTTGTAAGTTGGGACTTTTAGTCATTTTGAAAGTGTTTAAACATATTTGTTTCGACCATATGAGTCTCTTGTAAAAAGACAATGTCTGTCTTCAAATCATTTAACCAATTAGCAATTTTTAACCTCTTTTTCCTGGAAACAATTCCACGTGACAAATCTCAGTGTGGACATGTTTATATTAACTGTTAAGATGTTTGATGTTTGCTAAAGGTGTGTGTGTGTGTGTGTGTCTGCATGCATGCATCATGTATGACCTGCATGTGTGTATCTGCCTTATTTGTATGTGTCTCAAATGAACATGTATATATCTGTGTTGTATGCTTGTGTTTGTGTTGGTGCTGAGTATACTTTGTGTCATTATTTATGCTGTGCATTGAGCAAATGGCAACACTGGAGAAAATAGAAAGGTAACAGAAATGTGATGCAGAGAAAAAGGAGCGAAAAAACATGGAAGGAGACTTAAGTGAACTAAAACAGTGTAGGTCCCAAAGCAACAGCAATCAACAGGGAAAAAACAAGGGACAAAAAAAGATGAAAAATAATAATACTAAGAACAATAAAAGAAGAGAGACGACGACAATACCTTAAACTGATTAGACCAGAAATTATTATTCTATATAGACCTATCTGTAAGACGAATGTGCTAAGGAAAGGCTGAGTAAAAAGAAATATTAAGTTGAGAATGTTGGTGTGGATACAGGTCACCTGTTCAGAACAGCCAGGGAGTGGAATTCTGGTCGCGATACAGCCGTCCGCTGACGTACAGTTTGTTGACCGGGATGACAGCACGGGAGACTCCTTCGATGATTTTTTTCCATATAGAAAACAGGATTTCCTTCTCTCCAGGATCTCCTTGGGAAACTGGTCGTTGATGCTAAAGTCCGTTCCTTATAATTCCTGGCCGCGGCTTTTAACCAGTTCTTTCTGTTTAAAGTGCTCGAATTTGGCCACGATCTGTTTGG